GTAGGTTTGTATATTGCAATGCACTCAGTGCATGCCAAGTCATGTTTGTAAATGAGAAGTGGTTCTCAAACAGTTTACCTGGACAAATAAAGGTTAAATAAAATAAAATAAAATAAAAACTCCATGTGTAACACGTTATGCACAGTTTTTTTCTTTTTTGTCTTCTTATTTTATTTTATTTATTTATGTTTTGCTGACAACTGTGATCTTAGCGTATATCTTTCATTCCTCATGTAGTTCTCATTTGGAATGAAAATCCTTGAATTCTTGATATAACCTCATTATTCTGCACAAAATTTAACTCACTCAAATATGTTTGGAGCATTTTTTAGGTCCTGTTTTAAATTTAAAAAATCATGTCTAAGCATCAAACTTCTAAATAAAAACATTAAAAACTAATTAATAACTCAAGTAATTTATTTTATCAATATGCAATAGAAATATGTATTAAATTTAAGATTAAATCGTGATTAATTCACAGCTAGGATTAATCAGATTAAAAATATTAATCATTTGAAAGCATTAAAAAAACATCAACTTCAAAGGTTTTTACTCACTTTTATTCACTATTCAGTAATGATTGCATATGTCTATCATAATTCAATAACTTACATGTTTTAAACACTATTATATTCTCACTAACAAAACGTTCACAATAAAAAACAGAACAAAAAAATCTAATTTCTCTTAAGCTCTCTTAAATACCAATTTCAGTATAAAATTCAAAATTATATTTTAAAATAATGATTGAAAAACAGATTTAATTTTATAAGTATTTAAAACATTTAGTTGATTTTTTTTATTTTTGCATTTTTTTTCTTATCTTCCCACCAGCTTTCTGAGGCCCCCCTAGCTGTCCTCAGTCTAAAAACGCTGTTATAAGTCATTAAAATATGACTTGTGCATCAGAGGCTCTAAGTAGTAATCACTAAGCAAGAGAAAACATGAAGACCATTAAAATCTCCACACAGGTCAGAGGCAAAGTTGTAAAGAAAGGAAACGTGTTCAATTGAAAGCCTGATATATACGCAGGTCAGGAAACTGATTCAGTTCTCAGACTTGAATATTTATTTGCACAAAGTTACCACCTCACAGTGTTGTGGACCAATGACTCAGAGGGAGGTCAAAGACATTCCTAATGAAGCTGGACATCTCCTCTGCAGAAATGAGAGGTTCTGTCCTGAGGACCACTATAAGCAGCAGAGCTGACCTTAAAGGATGAGTGGCCAGGAAACATGGATTGAAGAGAAAAAAACAAGGCGGACTGTCTTGAATTTGTTTGAAGACTCCCCAAACAGGTCGCAAAAGGTTCTGTGGTTAGATGAGAAATAAATTATGACTAGGCCTGTCACGATAACAAATTTTGCAGGGCGATTAATTGTCTCACAAATTATTGCGATAAACGATAATATTGCCTGGTGACCRTTTTACAACTAATAATTATAAAAGCGTAATGTGTAAGTGTAATAAATCAATAAACTTTAATTTTTAAAGAATGTTTAACAAAGTGGACTCAGTCTAACAAAAAATGCACTTGAATTAAAAAAAAACAAAGAACAACAAAATGTAAATTAAACACCACACACAACTGAAACAGTAAATAAACAATATTAAAGAGCAACATCTCTTTAGAGATGAAGCAAACTACACAGCCTGGTGAGGACCCACTGTTTCTTATGGGGACATAAGCCCAGTTCACATCCTATGTAAAGTTTAGGCTAGGTTTAGGGTCAAATGGTAATAGAAAATACTGGTAAATGAATGAAAGTCAGTGCAAAGTCCTCATGAGGACAGAACAAATGTGTGTGTGTGTGTGTGTGTGTGTGTGTGTGTGTGTGT